GATGTTTCCCGAAGGCGATTTTATTTTGGGATCTGTGCGACCTATCGGACAAGTCCGGGCGACTTGTCGGCCGCTTGTTTTTAACAACAACGGAGAATACCAAAAACAAAAACACGCATTCCGTCACAAAGTTTGCTAAAAGTGTAGTTCCGATTCCGTTTTTTTAAAATTACAGTGTATAATGAATAGGTGATCGTTTGTTTTTTTTTTTAACAACCAATATGTAATTCGAACCATACTATACCGAAGTTTAATTGAATTAGAAGCACAGAATGTTAAATGTAAATAAAAAATATACAGTGTGTCTCGTATAAGAACTCTAAAATCATTGAAAATTTATTTGGTTTTCCTTATAGCTTCACCTTCATGTGATGGCCCACTGGGACTATTTCACAAAAGAGAGAGAACAGATTTTACACCTTAAGTGGGGCGCAAACGGTATTTCAAACGATATTGAAACAGTTGGCTCCGGAATAGCACTCTCTCTCTCTCTCTCTCTCTCTCTCTCTCTCTCTCTCTCTCTCTCTCTCTTTTGTTAAATAATCCCAGTTGGCCATGACTTCAAGTTGAAGCAATAGGCAAAACAAGAGACAGAGGTCTATCCAACAAAAAAAAATTAAACCGAACCATAAAACAAAGATTTTACAATGGTGTACACTTCTTAAATTTGACACACTGTATATAATAATAGTAATAATACATTAATGATTCTAATTACAATACAGTGCAACGAGTATTTTAGTTCATATAATTACACAAAATAACATTACATATCAAATTATTATTTCAATTTTTATTGCCAGTAAATATCAGAGGAGAAACAAAGTTAAAAGAAAAAAATAAAATGGAATGCATTTATTTTATTATCTATTAACGAAGGTTGACCAGCAAAAATTCACAAAGTGTAATGTAGAATTTAAATCAATGAATGTTTTGAGAAAAATTAGTGTTATATGAATAACAGATCATAAAATACTGGAGTTTCTCTCCGGCTTGGGCTGTGCTGTATTAGGAAACATTTTTTAATTTTTTTTAAATTTTATTCAACGCTTGAAAGATCTTGTGGAAGTGGCTGACCTAACATTAAATAATAATTATGATCGAAAAAAAAAATTAAGTCAATATTTAATGATCCAGTCTAAATTAAAAATCAAATCCGCTTTCCTATAATAATTGCTTTAAAAATAAACCCAAAAATTAAATAAAATCTTAGCAACTAATAATAAATAATAACTTTTTTGATTTCTTAGAATATTAAAACTCAGCCCAAGAAAAATTCCAGCATTATACGTACTTCAAGGTTAAATAATAAAAACGAAGCTGTTAAATAAAAGAACTTTACACTACATTAACAAACATAATGATTAATGTCTAATAAAATCCATAACTGATATTAAACAGATGAAAATATTTGGCTTGTGCGACCGCTAGGGGCGGAAAGCTTTCGATACGAGCGCTGACGTCATGACCGTTTAACAAACGTTATCTAATAAGCACAATTTTTTGTCTAGAACTGGCATATTTTATTATTCTGAGCATATTCTCAATACTATTTTTGATCGTTTCCAACTTTATCCGAAGAAAAAAGAATAAACTCAAACGCTAACACGATTGGTTCGTCCTCCAGCCACCCCGTTAAATATCAAAATACCCCGCGTGCCCCCGTATCCCGCAGACCCGAATCCCATAACATACGTCTTAGCTTAACCCGCGGGTACAACGTCTGGACCCTGGACGCGAGCCAAAAGTGCCTCGAACGACGACTCTTAACTCAGTAGTTGACTTAATAAGCCGCCATATTGATGTGTCGCGGCCGCTAATGACACGAACCGGTTATTCGATTGTTTTTTACGCGAATGTGCTCGCATTGTAGCGACAAGAAGGACGAAACGTCGCTAGCCCTAATCCGCGTTGACGTTTGAGTGTACGGTGCGCGTTAAGTGATTTTGGCGCTAAGCGTCGGCGTCGGCCATTTTATCGAGACATTTAAGCGCGCTATAACCTCAAACTTAGCGTTTTGACGACGTAATTTACAAGTTAAAAGGCACGGAGTACGGAAAACAATAACAACGTTGTATACTGTCGGTGTCGTGTAAAATATGGCTGCCCTTAGAGAAAAGTAGCTCGTATACGACCTAGTATGGGCAGGGCCGTATTTAAAAAAAAATAAATAAGGAATTGATATAAAATAATACAGTGGGAATAACTGTGTAATTTTTTGTTATATATGTTGCTGGCCAAACTAGTTTGTCTTAAGCCAACAAAGAGCAAGGAGCAACTACCGAAAGCATATTTAATTTCCTCAGGCTCAGGAATAACTAAGTTTTGGTCAGTTTTAGTTAGCACTTGCTAATTTTTTAGCTCTCATAAACCGTTTTGACTACCACAAACTACTTTGATCTGAAATCGGCTTTAGCCGGCAACACATGCAGGGCGTTTTCTAATTGAATGGCAATAGATAAGGGGACGATTTTTGGATCCATATTAAAAAGAAAACTTCATATGAACCCATGTCTTAAACGGCCTAACTTTTGAGATACAGTGTAGTAAAGTTTTCAAAAATATATACTATGATGGTATTGATGGTACGCCACTGATTTTTATTAAAATAAAAATTATTCTTACAATATCCAATCATTTCTAAAGAAATGTAATTTCTTGATTTGTTTCAATCCGATATGCGGTTTTCGTTTAAAAAAATAAAAATGAGAGTCGCTTGTTATTTATCTTGTCGTTGGGATGTTATGTTGTTTCATTAAAACACTAGTGGGTCACAAAAACTAGACATTTTGTTTTAGATATATATTTTATTTTTCATAAAAGAACTTCTCAATTTAACCAGTGCAGTGGCACGCCACTGATTTCTTTAAAAAAATGATGAAATTTACTTTCATTTATGAGCAGATTTGATCTCTGAATTTTTTTTAGTCCATCCCTTGATTTTCACTAAAAAATAAAAACTAATTTCTCTGCTCGCTGTCATATTAACGATATTATTATTATGACCGTGCAGAAAAGAGGGAAATTATTTTTTTTTTGGAAAAGATTGAAGATTGTAAGAATAATTTTTATTTTAAGAGAAATCAGTGACTTCAATATCTGCCACAATACACAGACACTGACGTAATTTTAAAAAAATATGGGAATCTGAATAATGCCTCTTGATACCTAGTATATGTGTGCCAAATTTAATTAAAATATCTGTATTAAAAAAAAATTTTTTTTAAACTTTACCACTTTGTTCAAATGAAGTTTTGTTTTTAAAATGGGCCCAAAAAGCGCGCCCTTAATTATTGACATTCGACTAGAAAACACATTGTATAATAGTATTTTAGGTTATCAAGGGTATCAATGAAAAGTGACTAATCTAATTACGCACATTACGGAAATATTTTTCTTTATCTTATGAAAAAAGAAGCATGAAACCAATACTCAATTTTTTAATGAATATTTTGATATCATTGCTAGTATAATTGCCTCGACTGTTAGTGTCCGCCATTAAAAAAAATTGACAGGCAGTATTTATCTGCTATTTATTAGAATTAGAATAGTTTCCGTTACTGAATCGAACATCGATGCATTTTGTTTGTGCATAGTATCACCTGACACTTCTGTGTTCCATGTTCCCCCTGGCAGCGGCATCTAGCGGCATACATCGAAACTGAGTAAATGTAAGCAATGATGGGCAGATATATTCGGGCCTATCTAAATTCTATCCCCCGTATCCATGTAACCGGCATGACATTTAATATTTCGGTAAATCCTAGGGGCCTATTATGCACAAACTACCACCTGTTTGGGCGTATTTGTTCCCCTCATTAAATGTAAATAAGCAATAAAATGCGATCCCGAATCAGAAGATCGCCTGGCTTATACTGCATAAATCATGACGTCATCCGTTAGAAATTCCCTGCAAATTTCAGTTACGAGCTGCTTATACCGGGCGGCCACTATCACTACCACAATTTTTACCAAAGCGTCTTGAAAGAAAGTTATAACTGATAGTTTTGCAGCATAAATGATCCCATATATCGTTTCAGCTGTTGGAATTTTCTTTGAGAGTCCACAGAGTGACGTTTGTTTCCAAAATGGCGGCAAGTTTTTCAATACTTCAATATGGTGTATTATTTCTAAAGATATACATATTTTTTTAGTTCTGAAAATTATTTTTATTTCATTTTCTCCCATAATATAATTGATTGATTGATTGCACTATTTTTAAAAATAATCAACATATTTAAATAATCAATAATAAATTAAATTTGCAAATTTAACCTCAAAATGTATTACTAATTAAAATAAATGAAAAATAAAATAGAAATATAGGACACGATTCAAATAACTGTTTTTTATATAATCAATAATGAATTTCAATTTCAGCTTCAAAACGTACTTAGAAAAACGAGAAAATTTTTAGTAAAAATAAAAATAAATTTAAGAAATTCAAATATCGAATAAAACTTGCCAAAACTGCTGATTGCAGTAAAGTTTTAATTGAAATGAATTTATCATTTGCCTTTGTACTTAATTTATTATTTTTAATTTTTTTTTTCAGTTTTTAAATGTATTTTCATTTCTTGAATAATCGATTTATTTAAATAATCAGTAATAAATTAAGTATGTAGCACAATTTTACCTTACGATATGAATTAGTAATTGCGTAATAAAAATAAAATAAATTTAAAACATGTAAATATACGATTAAAATTGCCAAAATTGCTCTTTCAACTAAAGTTTTAATTTTAATTGAAATAAATTTATATTTATTAGCTGTCTTTGAAATTAATTTATTATTTTTAAATATTTTTTATTTTTTTAGTTTTTAAAGTCATGTTTATTTCTTCTTCTTTCTTCCCCGATTCAATTTTTAATTCAAATGGCATTAATTTCTCGAATAAGCGATATTTTTTCATAGTCAATAATAAATTAAAAGTATAGTGCAATTTTACCTGCAAAACTAAAAAACTAGTAATTCTGTAGTAAAAAATAAAATAAATGTTAAAAAATAGCAAATATCGGATAAAAAGTACAAAAGCAACCGATACATAAATTCAACAAAATATACATACTATTCAATTTTTAAAAACAAATATCCTTGACATTATGGTATACCGTTTGTTGTAAAAATATACAGCGTGCAAAAATAATTGCTGAAACTGCTGATTCGATGTGTAATTTTAATTGAAATGAAGTTATGAATTCTATATGTAATTTTGATTTTTTTTTATTTTCCTTTCATAACAAAATAATCAATCTTTATTTAAATTTGTAGTGTAGTGTAGTAAAAACTTCATCTTTTCCACAGCTAAAATAATTTACCATTTTTAATTGAAACACCCTATATATTTTTCTCAACACTTCGGTTGAGGTTTTACCGCTTCCGTTGCCCTCTTCGAATTCTACGAATAAAGTCACTTAAACAAAACTTTAATCGCATCTGGCACTGACATGACGTCATTAAAACGTTGTACACGCTTCAGATCGCGTATCGGACGTCCGAATTGAGGACATTTTTCAAATCCGGGCGCGAACAAAGCGTTTCGGCAGTGACTTATTTATCGGAAAAGGGCAATAATGCCCTAAGCAAGCGGCCGAAAGACATGATCGTGGTTTTGTTGTGCTGCATGATGAAAATCGTGGAGTTTTCCACGGGCAAGTCCCAGCGGAACCCCAAACCCCGGGGCAGGTACAAGATGCACCACGGGAAGAAACGTAGAGGTAAGATTATTATGGTTTTCGGTTACACTGTTAGGCAAGGAATTCAAAGGTTAACTACGCCCGCCCGGTATAACGATACGGCCGACGTTATCGTTTAAATAATTTAGGCCAATTAAGTTCAATAAAGCTCTTTGTCCTAAGCGGGGTCGTTTTCATTGTTCGAGTTTTACGGCCGGGAATGATGAATAGCGCCTTTTTAAGCTGCTAAAACGATTTGCTGGTTGTATAGCCAACGGATTTGAAATTGGTGGATGCGCCGGGATTAATTCTTTGATGCGTTTCATATGCTGTTTTTTTTTTGTATTCTTGTGTGGCATTGCTTGGTACACAAAAATTATGAATAACTTGCTGAAGTTTAGCTTCTTCAGAGAAACTGTTTCTGAAGAAAAAGCTGAAGCGCAGACGATGGCTCTGTTTCATTCAGATTTAAAGATATATTTTCAAATTTTTGTGTAGAAATTTATTGAAATAGGCGTACTATTAAAAATGAAGAATAATAAGTTTGATAAAAAAAAATTATATCACAATTTAGGTACAACGTATGAAAACAGTTTCATACCCTTTCATATTCCTTGATTAAAACTAAACCTAACTAATAGTCAAATTGCTATAGAGAATAGTAAAATGATGGTGAGAAAAAACAATTAAATAAAGTAACACTTATTTAGTTATTTACTTATTCAAACATAAGAAAATTAAAACTCCTAAATATCTGTCGAGCATACAGAAGAACCAAAACGTTTGTGCGTGTTAGCTTTCAAAAGAAAATATAATTACAACATATTGACCGAGGTCCAGAGCAGAAAAAACATTTTTTGAAAATTAAACACCCAAAAGCAAAAAAATAAATAAGGTTTGTTTTAATCCCAACTATTCTCATTAGGAAGAAGGTTATGGTAAAGAATAAAAGAATAGAATAAAATAAAATAATTTTTAGATGCCAACCCTCATACCACCCATCCATATTTTGCGGTAACAGTATGAAACAGTGAGATTCTAGGGTGTCATATACATACATACATAATATGTGAAAAAATGTAATATGTATTGTATTCTTCAACTCCCGAGATCCCCGAACCCAAGTTTTCATGTCGATATAGCAAAAACACCTTGAACAAAAAATAAATAACAACTTGAACACTCTTTTTTTCAAAGAAACTTCCACAGGCTACTGTAATACTTTTTACAAAGCTTCTGGAGTTCTCCTGCGTCGGTTTCAGTCAAGCTCTGAAGAAGCCGACAGGATGATTGGCGAAACGTCAGCAATTTCGACTCAGCAAAAACCGACGCAGAAGGAATCCAGAAACTTTGTAAAAAGTAACTTTAACACTCCCTACCTCTCTAATAAACTCATAAAAAATTGTAAGAATTATTGTTTCACTATATTTCATAGCTTTTTTGTAATTTTATGTGATGTTTCTTAGCACACAAAAATTATGGATATTTAGAGCTAATTCCGTCCCTGGAGTGGATGCATTGCGAGTAAATCTCTCAAAATTTCGATGGTTCTGTTTTACTCAAAATTAAAGATATATTTTCAAATTTGCTTGGGTATCGGTATATATTTAGAACAGTCAGCAATAATAAACAAAAAAGTAATTAAAAACAGGATTCTATATCTTTTTTACACATTTTAACATTTTAGTAGTATTTGTTTTTACCAAATGCCTGCAGTTAAAGTATTTATCAAGCATCAACGCTGCAATTACCCAGAAGGCTTTGGAAAGATCGAGACGCGTAAAATTGGCGAAATCCGGCAACTCCGCGCGGATGTCTGGCAAACCAATCGTCATCGCTTTCAGTTCATGTGTGATACGGTTTGGAGTCGGTAGCGATAGATTCGGCGAATCCGAGGTGTCTGCGGTCCCCGTCGCGTGAGAAGAAGCGTTTCGAATCAAAATTCGTGCGGCAACATGTGCGTGGGATGTGAGACTACGGATCAAAAATCTGCCCGTTTCAGGTTTACCGCCGTGCGTTTATAAACAAGTCGGCGGACATGTTATGAAACACGGTAATATTTTGGATACTGCGATTAATGTCGGTAAACGTAGGTAAATGGGTTACTAACGAGGATACGGGGCACGAGCGAGCATTGCAGCACTGCGCTTGTTTGTAAATAACTTCGACGCGCAAACGATTGCGAATACGGTTTATCGGAATACGGTTATTGTTTTGGTTTTGCGACATTTCGAAGGTACGGCTGATACGGGCGTCGCGGATCACAGGGGTAGTTGGAATCGGCGTAATTGTGGTCCGTGTTCGCGAGTGGCGTTTACGTCTTTCAAGGCCATGGCGATAATTTTGCAAGGCAATGAATTTGCTTTGCTGGTTCTTTCGTCGACATAATTTCACGGTTAATTTGACGTATGTAGAATTTTAACCGACCAAAATGCAGTTAATGGCTAGATACTTAATTAATTGCAGTGTCATTTTACGCGATCAGCAAATTGTCGTGCTGTTTATTACGACCGACGGAACAACGGCCGAGTTAATTAACGATCGTACGTAAAATTTCGAAAAGCTGCGTGGGTTTTTTCGAAATCCAGCGATACGGTAATCGAAGAGCGACTATCAGGAATGCGGTTTCCGCTCCGATCGGCGCTTTTGTACGGTTTTCGTCGCTTTTAATCCGCATACAGGTCACTTTCTACTAAATTAGGATCTTTGGTATTATGCACCGAGTCATGGGCGGCACGCGACGGTTTTCCTATTGATAGTAATCGGTCATACGGGCGGTTGACGCGAAGCAAGGAATTTAACCGTCGTAAATGGCTATTTAAGAGGCAACCGACGACACAGCGGCGTGCGACGCATTGGGACAAAAGTGGCACCCTTTGAAAATATTGATAATCGATACAAAAATGAATTAATTTCGAATATCAACCCCCAATGTTGGTCTCAAATTTTTTCCTATAACAATTAATTTAATTTAATTAATTATAATTAAATATTACCTAGACTGAGACTTTTATTTGTGTTGCATTCAATGCCATACACTGCGACTACAATCAAAAAACTTTTTCAAAGAGCATCAAACATTTGACGAAATCAAAGATTATCGCACGCATTTTTTCAGTATCTGTTGAAACATAATTTTTAGGTTATGTGGAAAATTTTTGCATTCCGTCATAATTAAACAAATATTATGTAGATATTATGTATAAAAAATATATTTAAAACCTTTTTTTGAAAAGTGGGAAAGAGCATTGTCAGTGTCGGCGTTAAATTAACAAATACAAATGTTATAAATTCCATACATTTTCAAAACGGACATAAATTTATTCTTCAAAATTCAGTTTCTTAATTTTTTTCTCCTTTTGCAACCTTGATTAAGTAATTTCACTCGCAAGATGTTTTTGATCTGAAGAAAGCTGAATCCTAATATAAGTATAATAATAAGTATACTTACTGGTTAGTTTTCTTTAATCTGTGCCAGCTTGTCAATTTTCTTGAAAAAGTCATTGTCGTTTATTTATAACAGTCAATTCCGGTTTTGGTTATGGGTCTTTCAGAATAAATTCGTCAAAATTGACAATGATTTGTAGTCACTCTATAATATCACTGCATACGTTTAGGTTAGGGCAGTGTGACGTCATTCCAGAAAGGCAATACGTCCACCATAGATATTTTCAGGCCTGTCTGTCTGTTTATTAAGTTCCAGTTAAACCAGGAGATAATTGCCAAATGAATTGGCAATTTTAGATATAAAATTGTGTGAAGTTAAATGTGTATGGAATTGTTAGAAAACATTGCTTCAATGAAAAACCTAAACATAATATAACTTACAATAAAAGCCGGAAATTACTTTGAATTGTTAGGTAGAGAGGATACTTCCAAAAATCTAAATGAAAGTTTATTTAATTTGACAATAGTGTTTGTCAAAATTGATTACGGTCTAACCAAATATTTCAACTTAGACGTCAATGTACAAATAACTTTAAAATATTTATTTGATAATTGGGATAATTTTAATTTAAGATAATTTAAGATGTAAAAATGTTTTCTAGTTTCTATAAGCTGGGAAACATTTTTTCTCATAGCGGCCCTTTTGCCTCAAAGTGCGCCGTGCCATGATCCCGTAAATACGTGAAAATATATTCGTCTCTGTCGATCAGAGTTGAAAACTTCATACATTATTGTTTGCGCAGTTTTTTAAATGCGACCGAGAACTGGACGCATTTTTTGGATCCCCTTCTCTTTTTTTCTCGTGGAACTGGACCTAGTAAAAAAGTGAGGACCGAACATCGCTGTCCTAACTCCCCTCCCTCCCGATCGATACGGATCGTCTTGGAACTGCATACAGCGCGAGAGCTTGGCGATACCACAACCCCTCTGTGCCATTGGCGTGCGGGAACATTACTGATTTGTACATAAAAGCTGATATACCTATAATAATACTTATCATTATCAAATTTTAAAACAATGGCAAAATGTATGTTTTCCTGGCTTTCGAAGAACTCTCGTCCAAAAATTATTTAAAAATTGTGAAAAATGGGCATGAATGTTTAATAAGAAGAAAACCTTCTTACTTACAAAATCGCTATTATCCTGGATAAAGAATATCGTTAACAATAAGCTATTGCATGAAAAAAATTGTGATTTTTAACCTCACCTTCTAGACAATATTGAGAAGTACATGATAAGAAAAAAGATATGTTCCCTCTATTCCACCAGATTGCTTTTACTTCCGCTGAACTGAACTGAAAGCTAAAAGGAGATGAAACTGATTTAATTAAGAGTTGTGTATAATGGAATCGCACTGATTGCGCATTGAGAGATTTAATTACCTTTAGAAAAGGATGAATCGATTGTAGTAAAAACTCGCAAACAAAAGCACCTTTAAAAACCCCTCCCCATAGTTGAGATCAGAAGTGGGATCTAGCCTTAACCGCTTCCTATTAAATATTAATGATTTATTTAATTAAGACACACGTGCGGAACTTTTTGAAAACTTATTACTTACAAGTGATACTTTTAAGGAGCTTGTGGATTATTTTGTG